CATAATGTAAAAAATGTCCTTGCTCTGTTAAACATCATTTAGGAATAATTTAAAAAATTCAAAAAAAAATTCAAAGGGGGGCTAATAATTCTGACTTCAACTGTATATGCAATAAACCAATTACAGTCAAAAAGTCAATAAACTGTGAACTTCTGTTGTCTCTGCTTTCTTGAAAAGACAGAGGATCCCTCTAATGTGCATTTGTCTTTTATAAATATAATAACTAAAAGATGACTTTTGTTTTATTAATTACATTTTATTTTTCAGATTTTTTCATAAAAATTGTAGTTCAAATACATAGCTTAAATAAATGTATCTGAAATACTGGCTGTCCCTGATGAAAGCAAGCTCTAACAATGCGAAAATGCACAGGTCATGCACCCATAAACTCTGAGAATGTCTCAATTTTAGAGATGAATGGTCCAGCATGGCAGTTTATTAGGAATAAATAATAATCTGTACTTTGCAGGTCAGTCTGTCTTACGCCTAAATGAACTCATTATTATGGCTGAAGGACTTGGGTTTCATGACAAATGACACAATGATCAGATCACTTTACCACTTACAGACGAGCAGGATGACCTTTAAATGAGCCGAGAGAGAGTCCCATTTGACACGAAATCTTGATTTGTCAAATGACACACCAAAATTAATATAAGTAATATTATAAATTATGATATATAAAGATTAAATCATTACATGTGGTTAATTATAATTGTTTTCATACATTTTTAATTACAAGTATATATTAAATTTAGTACTCAAATGTTGATTTTTAAAATGTAATAACAATAATAATAATAAATAAATAAATAATACTTTCATATTTACTTTTTAATCATTTGACAATCAAATGACAACAATTATGTTTTAATTTTTCACAGATGGGTATACAAAAAATAGTCCGAGTGTGTAAAATTGTCATAAAATAAAGAATAAATTAAAAGATTAATTAAACTATGCTTTATTTTTTTATGAAAATAAAATGTCTTGTTTGTTAAGTTAATTTGTTTGTACATTTTAAAATCTTACCATCAAACTAATAACTGAATTCTTAATTGTGAAACTCATTTAAACCAAAAAATGCTCCAAAATGAATGCACTAACAACATCTGCTCGAACAAACACATAATATACAGCCTTCACTGGCTTTAAAACAAAGCTGAAGAGGTTGTGTCAGCATTTAAAAATGGCAGAACTGCCCGTCTGCCATTAAAAAGTGTTGATCTTTCCTGTGATTCATGTCCTGTAACCAATGGAGGAAAAGTTGGCCCTTCGACGGGCAGGGGCACATTTTTCTCAGCAGATTAGCTGTCTTTGATTTATTGGGATTTACCTCAGAAAGAGAAAACAGCTGGCAGAGGGACAAAAACCAGTACTGGCAAAGCATAAATCCAGCTATGGAAACCCTGGCTCGTTGGTAAAAGAGCAAAGCGTTGGCCATTTACACAGACACACTTCAGCTGGCTCCAATAAAGGACTAAGCATCACTCAGAAAAATATTAATTCTAAAACTCATTCAATCTATTATTAATCTATGAATTACACGATGGAGAGTTAGAGAATATTAATTATTTGGCTCTTTAATCTCTTACAGCACTTACAGTAAATGGTGCTCTGGAAAAAAAAAACTTGAGTCGTATTGGTCGGTTATAGCATAAGCTCAAAAAATGTAATGATTTTGTGGTTGCACTATTTTACAGTATGTACATATTTTAAAATATCAGTTTTTTTTAACAATTTAAACCTTCAGTTATGGTATCTCTGCTATGACCTTTTTTTTTAAACCTTTTTATAAGTTTGAAATGATCAATTGTGTGGGCTGGTCCTCTAAATTGAGACCAGCTAGTATGTATTCTTTTATTTTACATATGTATTCATATGTATGTTATTTCCTAAACAATATGTTGTAGTAAACAACAACAAAAAAAATGGACAGGAAACAGTATATTAAAAGATGTTTGTTACAGTGTGTGTGTAAAACTGGATTGCAAAATAACATGCTACACTGTAAAAATAAAATCTGTTATTTAACAGTATTTGTTTTGTGTTTTCTATTTATTAACGGTTGTTAGTTGCATTATGGGATGTTGATCTTTGTTCTGTCGACTTTTTAGGCTGACAATTCAGCTCTACAGTTTAACAAAGTGACTTTTTTTGACATATTAATAGTTTAAAATAAGATAATGTATAAAAAATAATGGTTGAAAATAAGTCTGTAAAAAAACAGAAAATGTACTGGCAGCTTATTACAAGGATTTTATAATATACAGCAACATCCCAGACAATACACTACAAACTAACAAAAAGTCACTTTTTCCAACTTTTTTAGGGTAAAAGCAGTTGGAAAAAAGATCAAGGTCTGATAATGCGATTCAAAAGTATAATTAAATAGGGAAAAATTAAAACACCAATTACAAAATACAGAAAACTGCTAATTTACACTGTAATAATTAGCTCAATAACTTAGTTTAACGTGTCTCTAAGTACTCAGTACTCTGAATTATTATTAATATTAAATATTCTTAAGTTTATTCTTATTTACATAGTATAAATGTATAATCACTTCCTTTCATCTCTTCATTCATTTATTGATGTTTTTTTATTAATTTTTGTTAGTTATAGTTTATTAGTATTCAATTATTTGTTAAGTAAACTAAAAAGTATTAATGTGGTTTAAAAAATTTTAAGGTATGTGGTAAGGTAAATTTAAGGTAAATTTATTTGGGCTGAATGTATAAAATATATTACATTTAGTTGATTTTTTGTAGGTTGTAATATGTTTTGCAGTACCTCATTTGAATAAATGTACAGTGTAAAAAATGAAGGGTTCACTATTCTTTCATGTTGTCCCAAAACAAATCAGTTAAGTTCACTTAATTGTTTACAAACATAAAACAATTAAGTTGTCAAAAAAAAAAACCTCAAGGATTGTGTTGATTTAGCACACTTTAAATAAGTAGTTTGAAACAATGAATGAATCATTATATCAACATATGTTGTCCATATTCACTGAGAAATTGTTGATGTCTAAATCAAATTGAATCTACAAAAGTAATTGTATATACTGTACATAGAAAAATGAAATATGCCATACGCTTGTGGGTAGGGCTGCATAATACTGTATTTTGTTTCTGCATTGATATCGCTATGTTATCAATTGCAGCAGTCACACTGCAGGATCAACAATGTTGAGTTTGCATTATAAGTTATCATCTTCATGTGTTTTTGGAACCTGTGACTGAACAATGATTTTAAAAGCATTCAGGCATAAGAAATTGTACTGTTTGTAACAGAGCTGCACACTATATCGTTTCAGCATTGATAACGCAATGTGACCATTCACAAGTCGATAATAATAATTAATAATGATTTTAATAATGATTTTTTTTTATTATTTTTAATTATTCAATTGTTTGACCTGAACATTGTTAGACTCTTTATTGTATTTACATATGCTTGTAGAATGTTTATTAGATTTTCAAGAGTTCGCACTTAGATAATGCTCAACTATGATAGCAGGTTTGGCATGCTGTCCCGGGAGAGAACCCTGAGCTCGGAGATAGATGAGCCCAAAGTTCCCGCCTGGTCAATGAGCACACTATTATGAGGGACACAAGATCAGGTATTTCTCGAGTGCCCCTGTGCTCTGGCTAATAGGTGGTTCTGATAGGTTAGGCATGTATGCGTTAAGTGCTTGTGACTGTATTACAATTCACTTATGTACATGTTTTTTGACTGTGGAGAGAAGCCGGAGATGGTCTGAAAATGAAGATAAGGTAGGAAGTTTAGGCAGGATATTTGAAATGATCTGATAGGCTAGCTAATGATTAGCGATGAGGATCAGCTAAAATAATCTGATAGGCTAGCTAATGATAAGCGATGAGGATCAGCTGAAGTCGATCATATCACATGCTCCTCTCGAAATTAGTTTATGAAACTTCACTTATGCATTTGCACTTTATCGATGTGCAAAAGTCGCTGCGTACCGACACCTCTGCACAAAAGGCTTTTACTCCGGGTTCAGGGCGCATGAGTGGCGCGTATCGGCATGCATGCAAACAACCGGGATTCACACAGAAGTGCTTGTGAGGCGCACAGGAATGGTTTTCTGCACGCATGCGTCAGTTTGCTTTTTACCATCGTTTCGGCTGCCCACACAGAATAACAAACTTACGCGTGCAAAAGACGCCAAATGTAAATGGCCCCTAACATCTTTATTCTGGAATTGCCACTCTAAATTAATACACTTGCAAAAAGCAAATCGTATCTTAATGCTTTTACTAGAGGGCGGGTTTTTTTTGCACCGTCTTCCAGTGCCTAACCCAGCAAGATGCTGTCCTGGGCGATCGCCCATATTGCACATGCCTAAATCCGCCACTGACTTCCACACAAAATCATCCCAATCAATCTAAAATGATAAATTCTTTCCACCTACAGATGTTCAAGTCATCTGGTGAAATTGTATTAATGTCACAATGTATATCGCAGAATAAATGTTTGATTTTTTCCAATATCATGAAAATAAAAAAATTACTGGGAAAGTCAATTTACGGTTATTCACTGCATACATTGAGAACTTATTGTTAAAAGCTAGAGATTTTTACTGTAGCATTTTTACAGTTGAAATCCTCGCCATTATTCACTTCTTGACATTTTATTGGCTGTCTCCAGTAAATCATGTTAAAAATATATGATGCACAATCTTTTTTTTTTACTCAAAACTAATAAAAACTCCACAGCTCGCTCATATTTTTGCTCCTATTCCTTATAATGTAGAGTCTTATTTAAGCAGACCCAGGTTTTCTCCCTGCTGAATTTGTGAATGTGTGTGGAGCATCTTGCAGTATTCTCTCTATGGAGCGACTGTATTAAATCCAGCTGGGGCTCTGCTAGGTGAAGTGTGTGTGTGTGAGTGTGTGTGTGTGTGTGTGTGTGTGTGTGTGTGTGTGTGCGCGATGATGTTGCATAGCTGATGTCAGACAGATGTGTTCGCTCACCTCCTATTCTGCCTCGCTGTCTCAGCTCCGTCTGCCCTCCGTTTCCTTCCCAAACTATCAGTCCACACCTTGCACGAACCGGAAACCTCGTATGCCGGTCGGGTGGGCTGCACTTGACGCATATGTCAAAATGAGTGGGTCGTGACCCCATAGCAGGCAGCATTTCCTGTTGCTGTAAAAGAGGCCTAGCGGGAGCAGTGGAGATCAGAGCCGACCAGAAGCACATCCGGATCTGCATGAGCTCCAGCCATTCAAACCAATACATCAGGCCATAACGGTAGCAGCTCACTGAACCTGCATGCGGTGGAAAAATATGAGGATGAGAAGCTGTTCTGGCACACTGAAACACTGGGAGGTTGAGTGTGTCATATGCTATTATGGCTTATTTTAAATAGCATGAGTACGTTAGACATCTTTTAGTAAAATGTTTAATTCATTTTAGTCAGTTTTACATCTTACATATAATATTAGTAGTCAAGGAAGGACAAATCTAACGCAGATACTGTATTTTATACAGTATATTAATTTGAATGTGTTAACAAAACACTTGTCCTTGTAAAAACCAAAGCTTTTAAGCCTACATTTTAAGGATTCATTCATAGCAATGGTCACAAACTCAATTCCTGGAGGGCCGCAGCTCGGCATAGTAGTCTTGAACACCTTGATTAATTGGATGAGATGTGTTTGATTAGGATTGGAGCAAAACTGTGCAGAGCTGTGGCCCTCCAGGAATCGAGTTTGAGACCTATGATTCGTAGTATACTAGGGCTGTGTGATTAATCGAAATTGAATTGCAATTGCGATTTGAAATATATATGTATTATATGATTTCCCCCACCCAGAGCAAATAAGTGAGCACCAGCTGTATGTGACAGTCTTCCTAGCCAATTGAGTGAGCACGGTTTAGTTTTGCCCAATAAGAATTCCACAACCGAACGAGAAAGCCCACAATAAAACAAACACATAGAAAAGCACGAATAAGTGGGATGATGGCTTCTGCCACTTCAGAAGCATTAATAGATGAAGAAAAATAGCACGTCGGTTATATGGGAATATTTTGGTTTCAAAGTCACAGACACCGAACAAAAACAGGTCATTTGTAAGAGCTGTCGCAGAATTGTTGCCACAGAATGAGGAACTACAACAACCAGCAACTAAAAAAGCACCACAGGTGACTATATAAGGAGCATCTTGCTAAAAAGTCAACTAAAAGTATTGCCAGTGACATTCAATCTAATAGCCAGTAACAGCAAAGTACAATTTCAGAGTTGTTTTCATCTGTTACACCATATGAAAAAACATCATGAAGGCACCAGGAGATAACTAAACAAAATAAATTACTAAATAACTAAAGCCATAATTGGCTACTGTTTGCTCTAGAGAAAAAAAAAAGTGTTTAATTTCTGAATATTTATAAACAAAAAGAAGTTGGAGTTAGTTAATATCTTTTCTCTTGCTTTTTTAAACTAACACTCACTGCAAAATTAAATCCCAAATCAAATCAAATATCTGTTCAAAAAATTGCAATTAGATATTTACCCCAAATTGCTCAGCCCTATAGTATACTACTTGACTGTTGAATGCTTGATTTTGATTGGCTGACGAACATTGTAAGGTGTGCAGTAATTTTCAGACAAACGCACAGATGAAGTAGTTCCAATGTGGTTTTGACCACATTACAGTTCAATATCCACTTAGTTATTTTACAGGCTACATGCATCTTCACACAGCTAAATTAAGCTGGAATTCAGTGTAAAGATGCCATGTCACATTAAATGTTTCATGTAGCAGTTTGTGTAAATACAATTTTTTGAATATTTATGCCGCAGGTTTGGTTTCTGTGCTGCCTTTGCTGTGTGACGATGCCTTACAACTAGTGGAGTAATGGTGAAAACATGGTTCGGAACATAGGCTGCCTCAGATTTGAAATCCCCAGTGCTTGCTTTTTCTGTTTATTTTGAACAGGCAGAAGGGTTTTATAACAATCAGATACAGAATTGAACTAATTGTGATGCAAAAATACAAAATAAACACAATATCGAAAGATAAAAAAAACTTTATAATTACTGCTTATTAAACTTTCAAAGATCGAGCCCAACTCTTATAAATTCAGTAAGCTTCTAAACTGAAATCTCTCTTAGGAAAATGCTAGCACTGATTGAAGGTCCATTCATAACAGCGGGTGTAGGGGACAATAACTGTTCAATCTTAAGCGTGTGTGTAAAGGAAAAGATTCACTTGATTTTCTATGTAAAGGCAGTTGACAGTTATGTGTAAGCATTCGTGTCTCCTGCAGCACCTTGCACATGAGTGCCGCTCATTAACTAAAAAATACAATTTATTGGGTAATTTAATAGATAAAATAAATAATACTAGGTACAACTACTGTTTTTACAATACTGTGATAGTTGGGTTTAGCGATGGGATAGGGGTAGACGTTAATGAAATACAATTAATAGTAAAAAATAATATTAACCAAATTTTTGTTAACTTCTGGCAACAACCATATCTGATCTAACTACCAGCTTCTGTGTTCCAAGTTGGCATGACAATGGCAGCATAGCGGAACAATTTCTGTTCAATATCACGTTTTCAGATGCTAGGATGCTTTCTTTGTGAATGGCTGATAAGTTGCTGTATTCATAGTGTAAGCACATTAAGTTATTAGTATATGTTTTCCTCCTGAACCATCAGTGTAAGGGGGTGCGCACCCCTACTTACAAGGGTCAAAAATGTAATTAAAACAAATCAGAAGTCTTTGGATGAAATGCGTAAGAAACTAGCTCTACAAACAGGAGCTTTTTGTGTACAAAAACTTCACAAATGTCTTAAAATACAATATCTGAACAGTGTCTTTATAGGTGTAGTAACCATAAACAGAATAACTGACTATAAGAAAATAACGCGCACACTCAAGGTATAATGGCCAGTCCACACAGAAATGCCAACTGGCACAGCCGGGACTCAAACCAGCAACCTTCTTGCTGTGAGGCGACAGTGCTAACCACTGAGCCACCATTGACCCATCATCAATAATTCCTTAATTTCTACGCTCTACCTTTCACATAAACATAAACATAAAGTGGAAAATTATGAGAATGAGAAGTTTTTCTGGCACACTGGAAGACTTGGAGGTTGAGTATGTCATTTGCTATTATGGCTTATTTAAAATAACCTCAGATATAAAGTGACATATTCCAATTAAATGTCAGATTCATTTTAGTCATGTTGTACAGTACGTAATTTCAGTGGACAAGGATTGAGTAAACGATACTGTCATGCTCTACCTCTCAGAACCTGTGGTAAAAAAACATGTTTTTATGGATAAAAAAAATGTTTTTCATAGTAGAAAACTTGATTGAGTGTTTCATAAGCTACTGTATCATGACTTATTTTAAATAGCATTCATGCTTCAGATATATAGTTAAATACTCCAATATAATTTGGGGTTATTTTAGATTTATGTTCATTCATTCACTTATTCTCCTTTAGCTTAGTCCATTTATTAATCAGGGGTCGCCACAGCGGAATGAACCACCAACTATTCCAGCATATGTTTTACGCATGTCCTTCCAGCGTTGCCAGTACTGGGAAACACCTATACACTCTTCCATTCATAAGGCTATTAAAGGCCAGTTTCAGAGGAAACCATGCAATCCTCAAACAGAAATGCCAACTGGTCCAGCCGGGACTCGAACCAGCAACCTTTCTGCTCTGAGGCCACAGTGCTAACCACTCAGCCACTGTGCTGCTGATTTATGTTCATACATAATCTAAATACCCACACATTTCCTTGTCCTTGAAAAAACTAACATCATAATGAATATAGTATATTACAGTGTTTTTATTGGTTTTTCAGTATATTCACAACATCAGTTACTCATTCATATTTTAAAGCAACTCAAGTGGTAGTATCACATTTATTCTGTGTAATCTTGAGTATCATTAAATTGAATTTTATCAATAAATTCACCCACTCATGCAGTTTAAGGGGGACAGCTATAGCTTAAGCTATTTATGTATCATTTTTGACAACTAATAAAAATTATATTTATATGTATATAAAAGTATATGGTAGTCGATATGGATAAACGTGTGAATTGTTGTCATGCTGTATATGTATTCGTGTTGAAAAATAACATTTGTTCATACCATGTTATTTTTACTTTTTTAAGTAAGCAAAAATCACGCCAAACTGTAAGTGGAGCTCAAGTTGATTATATTCATTCATTTTCTTTTCGGCTTAGTCCCTTTATTATTCTGGGGTAGCCACAGCGGAATGATCCACCAACCTATCTAGCATACTGTATGTTTTATGCAGTGGATGCTCTCCAGCTGCAACCCATCAATGGGAAACATCCATACACACTCATTCATACACATACACCACGGACAATTACGCTCAACCAATTCACCAATACCACATGTTTTTGGACTTGTGGGGGAAACCGGAGCACCCCAAGGAAACCCACGTGAACACAGGGAGAACGTGCAAACTACCCACAGAAATGCCAACGGGGCTCGAACCAGCAAACTTCTTGCTGTGAAGCTATTGTGCTACCCACTGCACCACCATGCTGCCCAAGTTGATCATATGAAACATATAAATAAGATCATACAAAGTAGCCACCTAGTCATGCAAGCAACCTATCCAAATGTATAAATGAAATCAAATAGATTCCCTCAAATTAGTCACAGCGGAACACAAGCAGATCATGTGAAAACTTGTGAATGAGATCACACAAATGCCTACAAATTAGCCACCATGCGACTCAAGCAGATCATACAAAACTCTATGACTGATATTTTATTATGTCTATGTATTAGACACTGTGAAATGCAATAGAGAAACACATTAATCTTTTTGAAAACTGATAGCTTGCATCTCTTGAGTGGGAATTAATTTGGATGAAAGCATAAAAATATAACTATTGTCTTGATGTTTATTCATTAATTATTTTTTTTTAGCTTAGTCCCTTCATTAATCTGGGGTCACCACAGCGGAATGAAATGCCAACTTATCCAGCGGATGCCCTTTCAGTTGCAACCCAAGACAGGAAAATATCCATACACACTCATTTACACACAAACACTACGCACAATTTGGCTTACCGAATTCACCTATATCGCATGTCCAGTGAAGCGTGGTTCCACAAAAGAGATAAAGGCAATGTAAAATCAAGGTAAAGCTAAGTTATCACAGTGCACTTTTCTCTCATGCTTGCTTTTAAAAACAGTTTAGGTTTAGAGAAGGGTTTAGGTCAGTGGTCCTCATAGATGTGATGAAGAAGGAT